TGCTTAATGGAATTTCACTGGGATTTGGGCTGTTACCATGGCCTGGGACTTGCAGAGCTGCAATCCCTGTGCCATGGGAGCAGATGGGTCCCCTATCAGTTACCTTGGCTTATTTATTACTTACATGCCATAATTACATATTTTGACTGGTTCCAGCTACTCTGGACAACACAGTTGGTCAGGTTTGGATGGTGAATCCATGGGTTCCCCTTCCCTGATAGAAAACTGTAGACCCTTTCTCTGCAATAAGTCAGCAGATACTTCCTGATATGTGGCTACCTACAGTCTCCTTTCAGAAAGTAAAATTTTGGTAGGAACTAATTAGTATGTGAAAGGCCTTCTTCTAGCCTAAAGTTTTGTTTTTCAATATGAAATAATGAATTCCAGCCTTGACATTAAAATTTGGAGTGAGATGAGCCAACATGTGGTTTAGCAAGTTTCCCTAGGTGCAAATCCTGCACTGGGGCTCAGCTCAGCTATGGGTCATCCAAAGGATCTTTCTTGCCACAAGAGCACTGTCTTGATTTCTGTCACATGTGGAGCGAAGGCAACCTAGTCTTGGTTGGGTTTAATCTTAGCTCCCCTATGTTGCTCAGCACTGCTCCACAACTTGCTTTGGAGGAAAAAGCCTGCTAGGCAGATTGGAAGCTCCAGCTAAGGGAAGTGGGAAAGGCAGCAGTTGTTAGATGATGTTGTCAGGAAAACAGTTTTTTAGTGCACAAGGGCTCAGGGATGAGCAAAGTGCCTGAAAGCAAAATCTCTCCCTTGCTTGTCAGTCGGTGCCGCTGCAGGGGGACAGGTCCTCTCCTCAGTCAGAGCAGGGCTACTGTTGAGGCCTTTTGCAACCCAACTGCTCTGGATTGAACCTGCAACCTTGAGCCCAAAAACACAGTGACATGTTTTTCCAGAGGTGGAAACCCTGATTTTTCTAGTGCATATTTTGCTGCTCCCTAATGTGGGGGGCATTACAGAACGCAAAAATAACTGCATGTAAAAAATAGACTGAATCTATTTACTCAAATATTTTCTCAGAATATAAGTCAGTAACTTTCACAACTTTCAGATATACTGCCTTACATTCTGATTTTTTAGTCTCCTGATGTGAGGAATCCTGGAAAAAAATCTTTCTTAAACCCTTCAGTGTTTTACACTTGCATAGGATGAACTGACTTTATGCCCTAGTAGAAAACTCAAGGGAAAAAAAAACCAACAAACCCTTCTGTGCATCCTTAGAGGTTCAAACCAAGGGAATATACATTCCTGTGGCTTCACAGAAGGCACGATACTTCAGTGAGATGCCAATGACATACATCCTACTCCTTCCACTCACACTGACAATGTTAAGTGCCTGGGAAGCTCCTGTTGTGGCTTCCCAGAGAAAGGTGCCTCGGAGACGGGGTGCTGAACCCACCAAAGGCAACAGGAGGTTAACCCAGATCACAGCTATTCCCCTGACCATGCATGACAGGCTGTTGGGTTTTGTTTCAGTGATGAGCTTCAAGTACAGCCAAAAGTGAATAGAGGCACGTTGACCTCATAGACTGAGCGTCCAAGACAATTAAAAGCAGAAAACACTCCCATCTCTGAAGCCCTGGTGAATCAGTGCTACAAGTTCCCGCTGCCCTGGCCACTGAAAAGCCATTAACACCCGCTGCAGAGGAGGTTGGAAGGCAGCCATCCCCATCCTCCATGGATTGCTTATGGGCACTGACTGGAGCCGAACCGACTTCAGCCGGAGATTTACACAAGCCTTATAATCTAATAGTAGAGTTTACTTTACGAGAGTGCCACACCAAAGATAGTCAAATGCAGTTTGAGCTAACCAGTCTACATGCTCCCACTGAAAAGCTCCAGCCATCATGGAACATGTCAGCACTGCGGAGCGCTGGGCGCAGATTTACAGTGTTCAGTTTATTGCTGAAGGGCTATTGTTAAATCCATTGTTAAAGAGCTGGAGCTATTAAAAGTTCCAGTCACACTTATGATTTTTAAACATAGCTAATAAGACCCAATACATTCTGAGAGGTGATAGGTTTCCCTGTGTATCTGAAACTTTCTCATGCTGGACTTTTAACATATGTTAGGATAGATTTTGGAAGTAAATTGGCTGTCATAAGTTGCTCTGCCTCTAATGTGCTTGGATCTATGAAATTCCTTATAGTTTTTCTTTATAGAAAGAGACATAGCAAGGTAATGCATAAAAGTTTTCCCTTGTGCATGCAACACGTGATTGTAAGCCAAGTACTGCATCTCTTAAAAGTCACCTTTCAAATTTCTGTTTCTTCTTTCATAAATTATAAATAAAAATGGATATTTTTGTTGTTAACAGGTAGACTTTTGGTGTTTTCTTGTGTGACTAATGCTTTCCCTCTTTTCTATCAAAGCTTTAAGAACAGGTACTTTTGATTCTTTCTACAGAAGGCTACAGGTACAAATCCTACTTTGGATCATCTGTATTCATGTGTTCAGAAACATATGAAGTTATGTGAATGGGGCAAAGAACCTAGGCAGGTAGACAGAAAAATCTCCTAGCATTTTGTGAACTAGTCTCAGCAGCTTTGTAGTGAGCACAGGCAGGACACTGCTTCTACTGACAAGGTTATGGATCTATTTTTCAAATGCTTCAAGGTTAACCCTTAGTCTCAAATAACACTAACATGCAGACATCCTAGTGCCAACACAGTATATTATGATAGAAATATATATTGCAAATGGTATCTATTGAGATATAATACCCACACAATCAGAATTCCTCTTGTAGAAAAACAGATACTATAAAAATCCAAATATATCCAAGGGGAAAACAACAGAAAACTCATATTAATCAGAAACCAACTTCACTACCAGTAATTTGCAATTTGCACCTTGCAATTCATTGCACCAACTGGGACTCTGGCTCTTTGTACCACAGAGGAGAGTTTCACTATCTCTGAGATCGCCCGATGGGTCGAGTACACAGCCTGAGGAAGTCAGAAAAACAACGTGCGTGATCTGGAACAGAGATTACTGAATGGAGGGGTGTGTGCAGGACTGAGAACCAACATCTCCCTGGAAGCTTAGGGAGGCTTAGTGCACAAGCTTGAAACCCCTGCATTCAAAACACAGAACTGAAACTTTTTTAGCAGGCTGAACACATTTGTCCATCCCTGATCTCACATCTTCCCATACACAAGAAAGAGACAAAGACTGACACCAGGTGGGATGCCCCTTGGCTGAAGTTCTGGCCGTACTTTTTTTCCCAGTGATATCACTTAACCCACAGTGTCTCCAGATTTTGCTTATCAGCAGCTGGGAACATTATGTCTTTACAATCAGAATGTCCAGTTTCTGTAGCAAAGGATGTGAAATACACACACCCACATCACTTTAAGATTCTAAAAGCCCATCAGCTACTGCAAACTTGTGCAAACTGCATCAGAGACTAAAAAGAAAGAAAAAGAGGGAGAGCGAGTTTTGTTTTAAAAAAAACCACAACAACAAACAACCAAAACTTACCAAAAATAACTGAAGTTCTCTAAAGTTGCCCTGAAGTTGAAATAGCCCAGAACACCAGTGCAGAGCCTGCCTTAAAACTCTCTGCCTTTCTCAACTCCCTCTCTCTCTCTCCAGCAATTGGAAGGAGGGCTGTGCAAAAATTCAGCAAACAATTTTCCTTCTATGTCGACCGGGGCGTTCCTCTCCGGGCAGAAAGGGGATGGCTGAGCCTGGGTGAGGCTTGTTGCTATCGCCAAGCCAAAGAGCTGTCGCAGATTACACAGCCCGTGAAATCCAATCCCTTTCTCTGCTACGGCAACAGCTGTAGGGCTTCAGCTGAGGCAGGGGAAGAGGGCTGGTTGCTGCTCAGGCTTTCCATGCGGGGGGGACGGGGGTGCAGGGGTTTTCCGTGAGCCCCGTGTCTTGCCCCTGCTCGCTGCTGACAGCGACAGGCACCGGCGGACACAGGGTGGGGATGCAGGGCAATTTCCTCGGGACTGAAAGTGGATGGGATGTGGGAGCCCGCGCAAAACAAACATCGCTTTTCCTGAAATTCATTCCCAGCCTCGCTTCAGGACATCAGTGGGTAATTAACCTCATACGTATTAGTAAATTCTCATGCAAGCAGCACACACACACACAGGATGCAGCCAGTCACAACAACGTGGTTCAAGCGGGTTTCAAGGCTGCTCTAGTGTCCTCTCGAAGTTCATTTTTCCTGGCAATTTTTAGTCAGCTCTTTAACTATTTATTTATTTGGATCCAGCCAGTCACAACAACGTGGTTCAAGCGGGTTTCAAGGCTGCTCTAGTGTCCTCTCGAAGTTCATTTTTCCTGGCAATTTTTAGTCAGCTCTTTAACTATTTATTTATTAGGTTCATCCCTGCACGCTGGGCTGCCAGACCTCGCAGCACACGCAGGGTGATCACGGCTCGCAGCGTGGGAGTGCCCGGGTGCTCAGTGCTGCCTTTGCAGCGTGTCCTGAGACTGACACGTGGAGAAATCTGCTTAGCACCAGCAGAATTGGGTTTATCACAATCCCCAGCCCCTCCTCTCACTTGTTTCTATTTCTCCACACCCTGCAAAAGAAAGAAATTTGTAATACAGCTGATTCCTCCCTCTCTGAGGAATTCCTCTAATTGCATCACAGGTGGGACTCCTCTGAGTCTTCCTGAGTTGTAAAAAATCACAGCAACAGGTTTCGGCTGGTTTTCTTGTTTCACAGAAGTATTTGGCTGCTCGTTTGCATTGTGTCAGCCAGGTGTGAGGTGAGAGAGGGTGCAAATAAACAGCCCCGGGAGTGTCCTGCAATCTCTGTGACTGCTCTTCTAACACACCAGGGCAGAAGGTGAACAGGTAAAATCAGCTGAAGGAAAACCTCTGTGTTTGCACAGCAGTATCACGTTGTATTGGGGCAGATGTTGTGCTGGGGATTTTTATGCTGTTGGCTCTGAATAGGTTTCAGTGCCTGAAATTCTGCAGATGTCAGATTTCTGGACCCAGCTTTGGAATAGGCACACAGCATTTCTATAAAGGGTATGTGGAAATCTGTCAAAATAGAATGTATAGCTCTGCTTCCACCCTCTGCAGACACTTAGCACAGGCATTTGTGAAAACTGGGTCTTAGCAGAACTCAGCATTTCTATTAAAGCAAATTATGGTGGTTTTTTTTGTGTAATTAATGTATACTATTCTATCTAATTATATACTATCACCTCTACAGCATAATTTAGAAAGATTGTATATAATTGTATCCAATTAATATACAGTTTGTTTGCATATGAACTGGATAGTGGCTCATAAGATGTGTGTTTTTATGATATGATTTTATCGTGTGGAAATGTAAAATATATATTATATATAAAGTATAATTATATACTGTATAAAAATAATATATAATTAGTATAAATGCTGTGTGAGGCACTATGCAGATTGTATGCAACCTGTATCTTCTTGTGAGTGTGATATTCACATCAGGAAAGAAAACATGTTGACTGTAGGTAGTGCAGGGAGGAAGGGCAGTGAAGGAGGGAGACAAGGAGATGGGACTGCATCAGCACAGGGGATGCAAGAGTCAACAAGATGACATGTTTCAATGAAGACCTGCCACAGCTGCCCTGAGGATGCAGG